AATCCTCTGTTTAGGAAAATTAGAAAATCAAGACACTTAAAAAAATTCTACCAAATAGTAAGAAAACTGCCTTGAGCTAAAACTTAGGTGGTGAAAGCAGGGAAATCTCTATGAGATGGGAACCAGCTTGGTTTACATAGTGAATTATAGGCCAGCTGGTGAGGCTATGGGGAGACCCCATCTCAAAAAAAAAAAAATAAAGGAAAATAGTCCCACTATGCAGTGTTCAGTTACCAGTGACCTTTGCTGTAAGCATAAACAGGAAACCCAGAGTGGTGGGGTAATATCAGATATGATGTTGTCTACCTCAACAGGAGTGTATTGTAGGTAAACACAGCTGTCTGGGTGGCTTAAAGCCTGTTCCTCAAAACTCTGTGCTGGAAGGAAGTTTGACACATTTTCCTAAGAAAAGGGTCACCCCAGGAGCACCACTTTAGAAAAAAGTCAGCAGTGTGAGGTAAAGTCTGAGAAGAAGAGAAGGTTTAGAAGAGTAAATCCTTCTATGAATTACCATACCTACCTATGGAATATCTTCAGCTACTCTGGACTCACCTGCAGGTAAGGACTATAGACTGGCTCATCTGCAAATAAGGACTATGAACAGTGTAGTTCAGGCACCCCTCTCCCCATCACCCCCAACCTGTTTCTTTCTAACCTTACACAACCAGAAGTGGACAGCCTTGAGATTCCTTAGCTGCAAAATTCAAACAGGAAGTTCTCAAACAGGAGCTCTGAAAAGGAGTCTGAAAAAAGGGGTGGGTGTGCCAGGAGAGATCAAAGGGGAGAAGGGAAGAAAGGCCAGGAGATTTCAGAGCTTCAAGACAGCAATAGTGGTTTCTTTGTCCTTACCAGGGCATGGCCAACTAATGCTCTTGATTGACAGTTGGTAATTACTGGCCTGGACTGAGCGATGGAACTCTTACAGATTCTAAAACAAATTCAAACACCTGTGAGCTGGTTGCTGGATTTTAATAGTTACTTCACCCAAAATTTTGCAATTTTGATCTCTGTGAGACTCAAAAGAACTTATCTAATATACATTAAACAAAAGTTCTCAAAGCGTTTTGTTCATTTATTTTGTTTGTACCCATGTCCAGTGGTCCTTTTATCAGATGGTGTATAATAGGAAAAAACGTTTACAGTTAGAGATATGCCAAATTATGCAATAATGATTATGTATTTTTTTTGGACAAAAAAGTATTACTGGTAACACTTAAATACTTAATATACAAAATCGTGCTGTTCAATACACTGACCCATTCTCCAGCATTTACTGTAGTTTAAGGCACAAGCTCCACGCCAGCTTGCATCTCTGAAATCACTGCTCATGAATGACAGAAAAGTTAGGTACATCTTTTTTAAAAGTTTACAAAAAGACATTAAAACAATGAACTGACCTCAGGTCTCTATGACCCAGCAGGGACTACTGGATTACCTGGGTGGTATTTGAACCAGAGGGAAGTAGTTGCCTCCTAGCCTCTGGGTCAGACTTGCTTCCCCTGGGCACTCACTCTCTGGGCAGACCTCACAGGTTGTCAATGATTTAAACCAAGTTTCAAAGTGAAACTTGTTAACACATGTTTTTAGAAAGAATCTAGCTCAGTAGATACTGTCTGTAACTGCAGTGCGTTAAAGAGTTTCACAGCCTGGCAAATACCCTTTAGTCCAGTGGCTACTTTTTTTTTTTTTTCCTTTTTCCTCTATAGGAAAGGCTTCAGAGAGCCAGGAAATCCCACCAACGCAGTGCCAGAATAGACAAGGCTCTTCAGCCTCTGCATCCTCAAGACTTTAGGGACTGCATTCAGCTGATTCTCTAAGTCTATCTCCCACAGACTATCTCTTCTTGAAAAGGATTAACAATATATGATAAAAATAGACCATTTTCCCACCATCCAAAAAGGTAGATCATCAATGTTACAACTCAATCTCTTTCTCCAATCTCTCAGTCACAAGATGATATCTGGCCTTATTCAGGACGGCTTGGAACCAGATCCTTTCTTTTTCCACCGAGTTATATTCCCCAGCCTGATTACCTTTTATTTTGGGACAGTGTTTTACTAAGTTTCCCAGGCTGGCCTTGAATGCTCCTTAGCTCAGGCAACTTGAGATTCTCTTTCCTCATCCTCTTGTATAGCTAGGATCCTCCTGCCTCAGCCTCCCAGGTAGCTGGAATTACAGGCCTGCCTCACCTGCTAGCTTCAAACTCCTTTATTAGACAGAAGTAAAGGTTTAGGCTCAATGGCATCCTTCTCTTCACCACTCTTTAAATACTCTTCCCACCTATTCTATCCCCTCAGGGACCTTCTAGAACAAAGAGGATTTCCACCTCCCAGTTCCTCCTCTAGGAGTAGACAGCATTACCGGTAGCAACTTCTGAGCACACCCCCAATTTCTTCTTCTTTTCCTTGTTTCAGCCATTTTAGTCATTCAGGATGTATCTTTGCTGAAAGAAAAATGATAGTTCAAGGTCTGAAGAAGTGGTGCATCACGGTATCTGGTGAAAGCAGCAATGAAGGAAGATGCCAAGAGTGTGAGTGGAAACCCTGGAGTCAGACGGATGCATCACAACTTAAGGAGGGAGTTCAGTGTCATGGGCTCTGGAGACTGTCTGGGTTCAAATACAGGTTCCAGCCGTCGGCAAGTTGCTTTACTCTTTCATAGCTGTGATCGAATATGAACTTGAATATACAGTGCACGCTAAAGAATGCTAAGCATTAACTACATTAGTAGTATTATTACTATGGTATACTTTAGAAGAACAAGGTTACTGGGGAGGCTGAGATGGGAAGATCATCAGGGTAGCCTGGGATATGCAGTGAGACTGTATAAAAGGGGAGGGTGGTTGGGAGAATGAGGTAATTCTTCATGTATTGACTTGGAATAATGCCCACGACAGTGTTTGGGGAAAATACTATAGAATAGCATACAGTATGAGCCTGTTTGGGGAAGAAAAACAGGGGTGTTTATAGGTACATCCAAACATTGGCCTACTATGGACTAGCACACACCCCAAACACTGGCTGACTGTGCTCCAAGAGTGAGAGGTGGGGTGGTAGGACCCAACATGCTCCTATAGATCTTTGTTTGAATTATCATGCATGTTATATTTTATAACTAATTTTAAAAACTGAAAACCTTTATAGTGGCTGTTCTAGCCTTTCAATTCAACATCTCCAATGTTCTAGTACAGAAAAAAAAAAATAAGAACTTCTTAGCGTCAAGAAAACTGAGTCTTCAGGAAGATGAGATGGAACCCTCTCCCAATTCCTCTTCTCACAGAAAATTCCCCCCCTTCCTCCCACATCCCCTCCCTCCCTCCCCCTCCCTCTCTATCCCTCCTTCCTTGTGTGAAGTTTCCCTTTTATTATGCCCTGGTAGCTTCCACACACACTGTTAATCTCTTCCTAACTTTCTCACCATTTCCCAGAGCATCTTGAAGGTCCCCAGACAGGTGCCCTTGGCCTCCGAACCCATCAGCATCAAACCACCACTCAGGTGCTTGGCAGGCCCAAAAGGGCCTCCACCTACACAGCTATGGGTCGGTGCATCTCCAACTATTTTTGGCCCTTGCAAAGGGTCCAACTGGGCTTTAAAACTTATTTTTCAGGCACTTCTTTCCTTTCCACACTGGTGTTTACTTTTGCTCCATCCTTCTCTCAGAATTTATTAGGCTGTTTTGGGCTGTTTTGTACCTTCTCCTTCAATGCTCTCTGCCAAGCTTGACAGCTTCTATGCTATTCTTTTTCCCTTTTTAGCAACAACCCTCACGCTCACTTGTCTTCTCACACGACAGTCATCTATCCCCATTTATACACAAGCTCCTGGAGTCACGATCACAGGATGACGCGGGAGGAGAAAGAATTCGAGATTCTAGGCAGCGTGCCTTGCAAGCCACCTCCCGCACCCGAACCCGCGCTGTCAGGAACCACGCCTGAGGTGGGGTGCGGGGATCCGGGTCAGCAGAACCAGGTCAGCACCGAGGCACACAGACATAGGGGGAACTGATTGGTTCCTGTGTGAACCAATCATCGAGGGAAGCCGTGCACCAGTTGGGGAGGGCCAAGACTGCCAAGTGAATGAGGTTAAAGGGAAAGAGGCAGGTGCACCCAGCACTTGGGCTTAGGTGCACTTTTGAACCCACAGCCACTAACCTTGGGATTCTGCTCTAAATCCTCCCTTCCTGGTCTTTCAGCTCCGCAGAGCTAAAAAGCAGATAAGAGGGGGAAGCGTGACTACCCCACCATTCACAAGGTGGTATTAATAGTCAACTAGTCAACGGAGAAGTGGCTGTGGAGTAGCGGAAGAGAGGTGCAATCCTTTCCACGCCGCCAGGCCGTGAGCCTAACCCAGAACAGCAAATCACAGGGGAGCTCACTAAATCGTCAAAGCTGATTAGCGAAAGGCTGAATTAGACACCTGGAGTAAGTTTCTATCCTCCCCAAGGACTGGGGGAAATAGTACTGGCATTCACTGACCGCTGTGTCCACTACCCGCTAAAGCAGAGACCAATGAACACCGAGACTCATACCTTCCCAAACATACAATCACGCGCACCAACCCGGCCACCTCCGGGAACCTGTCCCCTGTCCCCACCGCGGTGACACGTCCTCAAGCCTCCACCGCCACCAACTCTTCACGCGGGGACGCAAATATCTTTTTTCTTTTTGGATGGTGGACAGAAATACCAAGTCTCCCTACTATATTTCAACTTCAGCAGAGCCGTCTGTTCACTTTTACCCCCCAAAGTGTCACAGCCCCCCATTAACAGACCGGTCCCGACCTCTGCGTTCCCACGGTCCTGCGCCGTTAACCTTCCCATGTACCACCCACTGCCTGGCCCCAGAGTCCCTGCCCCGGGGTTTGGTCGAAGGGCCAGCGAAAGTGAAGAGGTCCCCGCCGAGGCCTGGAGGCCGGCAGTCGGAGGACAGAAGCGGGGAGAGGAAGGAGCTGGCACCGCGCGGGGAAGGGCCGCGAGCAGAGCCGGGCGCCGCTGCACTCACTCTGCGTAGCCAGTGGCCCAGGGCAGCCGCCGGGTCTCCTTGAGGATGAGGATAGGGCGGGCGATGTGGTCGGCGCTGCACTCCACCTCGTCCTGAGACAGCCCGAGGAACTCCGGCCGCCCGTAGGGGAAGCGCAGCGGCAGGTCGGAGCCTCCGCAGCCGCCGCCGCCGTGCTCGGAGCCGGAGCTGCCAGCCATGATGCCGCCCATGAAATTGGCCACGGCAGATTTCACCCGAGTGAGCATATTACTCCGGAGCCCGGCCGCCGCCGGGCGAGCAGGACGCTGCGGGGCGATGCGCAGCGCTGGGCATGCGGGCTGCGGCAGGCGCCGGGCGCACCGGAGCCGGGCCGCCGGGGCGCACCGTGCGGCTCCGGGAGCTCAGTGCTGCAGGGGGCCGAGCCCCGGCCTCCCGCGCTCCCGACAGCCGCCGCCACCTCCCGAGGAGACACTTCCGCAACCCAGAGACATGGAGCGGGCGGGCGGCTCGGGAGGGACACCGCGTGCCAGGGGAGCGGCGGCTGCGCCGGGTACCTCCCCGCCCCCTGCTCCGGGCTGCGGCGTGCGCGGACCTGAGCCCACCCGGGAACCCGCGGAGCCGGCTGCCACGGCTACTGTGGAGTCATGTGATAACCAGGCTGCAAAGGCTCCGGCTGCGGCTGTGGCCGAGGCTCAGCTCCTCCCCTGCCGGCCCCAGCCGGGCTAGCTCCCGGACCTTGACCTCTGGAGGCTCCTGGGCCGGGTGGTACAGGGAGGAGCGGATGGGGGCGCTGTGAGCTGGGGGCTGCACCGGTGTTAGGGGCTGTCACGTGGCGCCAGGCAGTTGGGAGAAGCCAGGTGAGGAATAGGTTTTGGGAGGAAAACTGCCTTTGACCTCCGGAAAATCAACTTCAGGGAGACAGGTGCAGGTAGGGGAGCTCTCCAAGTCCCGAGTGTGAGAGCAAATTTACCCTATGTGAGAACCTTAACCGCACAGTGAGGACACAGGAGCATTTTGAAGTTTTGCCTAGGCGTGCACAGAATTACTTTTCTTTTTTTCTTTAATGATCTTTACACGCGTCGGTATCCATGACCCAAACCTTGTTTAGAATAAGTTTAAACGTACAAAAACCCTAAAGATCTCTAAGAAAGTAGAAACAAGCACTATTTGAACTAACCCTCAACCGTTAACAAATTTATATCGGCTTTTCCCCCCACATAGTGACAAATGTACTTTAACTATGTTCAATGCTAAGGTTAAAAGCGAATAGATACTTATAATGGTATTTTCTGGTTATCTCATATTAAAACTAAACTTAAAGTGCCTGTAAAATAAGGTGCTTCGTGAAGGGCAACATTTGTTAAATACTGACCTTGCCTTAAAAAAAAAGAAGAAAAAAAACTTTTGCAATAGGACTAGTATCTACTTCATGTTAAACTGACTTGCATCCTGTTTGGATGTTTACCTTCTGCCAGGACTCTGCTAGTGCAGTGAGCTCCGAACAGCTCCCCGGAGCTGCAGATGGCAGACAGGCCCCTCATTCTTCTCGGTGAGAGAGGATAGTAGTCCCTGTGCTGGGAAAGCGACTATGCGTCAAGGAGTCTGCTGTTCCACCACGCCTGGCTAAGCCTCACCAGTTCCTCTTCAGTCTCTAGAATCATTTTTAAGGGTATCTCCTCCCGGTGACCAGTATAATTTACAATATACCAGATAATTATGGCAATATTTCAAACGCTCAGTGAAATTTCACTGCTTTCGATGCATCGGTTTAATGCTTTCCACAGAAGTGTAATTTTTACTTCAGTCCCCTTCATCCCCCTGATTATAAAAATTGGGTCAGAATTTTAAATGATATGAAATCAACTCCTTACCCTTGGCTTGATTAAGCTTTTTCTGAGTAGTAAATCTCTCATACCTGTTTTGGCTAAACATTCCAACACATCACAGGCTTGAAATTCACTAAGTTTAAGATAAGCTTCAAATTCTCCCCTTCTCAAACATTTCTTGTAGTACAGCTGCCTTTTAACATTTTGTTTAGATAGTTCCACTTCATAGTAAAGCTTTAGTGTGTATGTGAAATTGGATGCAATAATATTTTCCTCTCTGACCTATTTTCCATCTAAAACTAGTACTTGATCATGATATATTATAAATAAATAAAATTCAGTGTTCCAGACTATAAATGAAAAAGTAAAAGACAACTCCCAGTGCATAACCACTGTGGTTATTTTCTATCGGCTTCCAATCTTATTCTGAAATAGATACTTAGCATAATCAAATTTGGAAACATTAGCAAGTTTTGTGGACCAATACTGTAAGAAGATATTGTACTGTTCCTCTATAACCTGATTATTACCTGTTGGAGGAACGTGCTGGTCCATCATTAGTGTGGCACAGCAACCTTCCCTGATACTTTATCCTGCAAACAAGCAGGACTTCCCTACTCTCTCTCCTTTGAATGTTTATAGTAGATGGAAGTGGAATTTTTTCTTATTTAAATGGGGGGGTCATCATTGCTCTTAGAGGGGCCCCTATGATAAATGCCTTTTTATTCTTATTATAGATGTAATTTCTGGGAGTATCTGTGCTAATGAACTCAAGTGTTGCAGGAATCAGGAATTGAGAGACCTTTGATTTGTTTACTAAACATTGTGCATAGGCCTCAGTCATTGGCAGACACCACACTTAGCTTTCTTACGTTCTTTTCCCCTGGAAAATGGAGTTTGGAGACATTAATAGATATTCTTCAGAAGAGACCTTATGCTT